GGGGGGGGGGGACATAGTACTCTTGCTGCGTTAAGGCGAGTTTACACTGAGGCAACTTAAAGCAATCTAGTTGCCCTCCTCGGGAGACTATGTTTGCCGTCAAATTTATCAAGCAGCATGCGGCCAGGAGCAACCGTTGCCGCATGCGACCGACCCCATTCACACCCAGAGCGACTGATTGCTTCAATTTTTACATCAGCTTGTGTAGAGATGTCACTGCAGACAGTTGCTGCTGCGGCTTATCTCATTTTGAGCAGGAGGAGAAAACGTCAGAGAAGAGTTTGGTGCAGAAACATTTTTATTAATAGTGCTATACCTATGCTTTTTAGCGTTTCTTTCGCTTCCTTCACCGAACATTCAAACTTTGTGGCAAATTCCTCCCATAGCTTAAACTTCCTCCGATTGTCTTTATAATTGGAATCCCACAGAATGCTCTTTTCGCGGTATTCTTCGATAAGTCACTTGCCTTTATCCGTGTCCCAACTCATCACGCCGAATGAGACTAGGTAACTGAACCCACTAGCGATGGATAACCTTGCGGCCTGGAGCAACTAGAGGACGCGGGACGCAAGCCGCATGCGATTGCGCTACCCACTACTGTTACTGCCTGGTAACTTTAGCCGCGCGGAAAGACAAACGCTGTTGTGGGGCACATGAAGCTATACCCTTGCTGTGGGGTCGTTCAGAGCTACTCCCCGAGCCGAAAACATTGCCTCGGAGACCAGGAGTAGATAGCGCGGAATTGATACAGTGCGGCGGAGCGAAAGCACTTGCTTATTCCACTTCCGGCCAGCATGACACCATATCACAATTGCAATATGTACAATGCATGACATAATAAGAAACACAGTAACTGTACAGTAGGCAGTACAATGTACACTATTATAATACAAACACTACAGAACAATACCTTACAATCCTCGACAATGCACGTCAAATCCACAATGTACTGGCTCGATGCACTCAGTCTGAATCGGCAGACGATGAATCACTACAAGCACTGTCTGTGTCATCCTCACCATCAGCATCGCCCTGCAGATTGATGATTATTTCTTCTATCACATCCGGCATAATGCCATCTTTTTCCCAGTACAGTTTTTCTTGCGATTCCATGTGGTGACAGAAACCAGCCCAGTCATCTGCCATAACGTCTTGTATGGCTTCATTTGTTACTTCCAGTAATTTTGNAGTTTTATTTTCGCCCATGCGAGCTCGATCGGATTGAGATCAGACATATACGGCGGCAAACGGATCACAGAATGCCCATGTCCGGACAGAATGGAATCGATCTTGAACGCTTTCTCTTTCGGTTTTAGGGAAAGTATTTGATTGTAGAGGTCATTCTTCCACATACTCTCATCACCCTTGTGACGTAGCCACGATATCATATCCTTCTTTAGTGAGTAAGGTGTTGGTGGCTTGTCTATTTGGACACAGTGGTATGGGGCACTGTCTAGAACCATGACGGACTGTGGAGGAACATGAGGAACTAATTTTTCCGTCAGCCATTTCTGAAAGTTATGACCGTTCATCTGACCGTGGTAATCACCTGTTGCACCGCCAGCCTTGTAGACAAGTTTGGCCTCTGGAATGAAATCGTTCGAGGTCCCTGCATGTAGTATTATGAGTCTGTTGGCGGAGTTAACATTTTCCTGGACTCCCATGACGTCATTACTCTGCCAGCACTTTCAAAACGTCAGGTTGCTGTCTACCCACGTCTCATCGATGTACACGATTGATCGTCCTTCCTCACGATACTGCTTTATTTTAACCAAGTATTTACTTCGCCAATTCACAATGTCCTGTCTTTCAATCAAAATTTTGCGCTTTGACTGACATCGCCGCCATCAAAACCCCATGCTTTTAATAATTCTGCGCAAAGACGTTTCTCCCCAAGGAAAATTTATTTTGCTTTTAATTATTGGCAAAAGCTTGGGGATGGTGGGCACTCGTTTCTCCTGTATATACAAATTGTGAATTTCATTTCTAATAACGCATATATCGAAGTCGTCTACACTCACAACACTGCGAGAAATGCGTCTTCTCTTCTTCCCTGGTGACAGCAGCCGTCTGTTTGCGTCGTTTTCCTTTCGTTTCTTGTCCTCTTTTCTTATGTTTTTTACTGTGGTGTAAGATACCCCTGCATATACAGCAGCACGTTCCGTAGCTTTCGGGAGCGGAAATAACAAATGTTTACTCAGCTTTTCCTCGCCGCATATCTCTACAATATTAGCTATTACTTCCCTGGCCTCACTATGAATTGTTCCGTGCCATTGTCGGTGTGCCATGATAGTGTCACAAACACCACGTACGTAATACAATCGCTATGACTGGTACCAACTAACAAGCAACACAACGTACTATACACCTGATCACATTCCAAACTGGTAGTACCCACGCTGACGTAGTCTGACAAGACTGCTCCCCGCCCCGCTCCGCAAGAAATGGTATGACCCCTCTACCGCGGCTAAAGATACGAGGCAGTAACAGTACCTGCAAGTGAGCAACTTGCAGCATGCGATCGCGCCGCGGTTGCCTCGGTGTAAACCGGCATTTACTCTATGGTAACACTGTGCGCCCATACAGAGCGGAACGCGCACGTTGCAGGTAGTACTGATTCTTCCGGTAGATGGGTCTCTCTGTCGCCTACAGCAGACGTATTAATGAAAAATGTTTATCAAGGACTCAAATCTTGTTTTTATAAAGTTTTATATTATGGTTGGATTCCGAATACGCGAAGTGGACCCCCTACTCTCTGTACATCTTATGTGTGCGTGCATATAAATACACGCGAGTATTTGATTAGTGCACCCAATCATATCAGAAAAACTCAAATTCTGTAAGACATGAAAACATATGAGTACAGAGTTAAATAACAATTTGACACAAAAGCAAGAGACACAAGCAAGTGAAACCTAAATTATCTTGACCTACTATACCGACATGGCGTGCAGTAGAACATACTGAGCCTCTACATCTAAAGCAACGAAGTTAACCACAGAATATATGCAGGAACTTCATACCTAAAATTTTGTATTTCAGCACCCTGTTGCAATTGTTTAACTTAACGTCCATGTATTTATCGTCCGTCAATATTGCAACACTTGTTTATTCATTACTAATTTTAATTTAACATTATACACTTTGACACTACATGTTTCGGCCCCAAACGGCCATCTTCAGGTGTCTTTGATATGTTACAAATATTTTATTAAATTATGTTAAAACTGCTACACTGTCTTAATCTGTGTTAAAATCACAGCGCATTCAGCGTAACTGCGTAGTTTCCATACATTGCACTGAACAGCGTCTTGCCGGAGAGGGCCTCAATAGTTAATCCTGTTGTCGTAGGCGGCGCTGACTACTGCCGCCCATTCGGCACTCTCTCCAACCACAGCAGGTGTGAAGGCGGCCACGTCCTCAATGTCGCACAGGATGTCCAATAATCGCCTGTACTGTGTATCGGCATTGGGGTACTGTTTAAAAATTTCCTTGTATTCGGCCTGTAGAGAGGCACGTTTTCAACCCAGAATGCCTGGTACCCTGACACAGGGACGTCAGCCATTTCTGGTTCGACACCCATACATCCCACAACCCAGCCAAGCATCGATCACAGGTACATGTCACTAAGACAAGAATTCACTGCCAGTTAACCCACACTGAATCCACAAGAAATGCTGCCTGAAACACTCTCTCCGAAATCACTCAGTAGCTCAGTAACACACAGACTCAGAACACATTCAATCAATGATCAATCAATCACAAATCAATCACTGAATAATCTTCACTCCCAATGAATCTCCCTTTCCTCTCAAGCCAGATCAGGGGAGATGAAGGTAAAGTTTTGACTCCAATAAAATAGTGAGAACAATTTCCCCGGGAACTTCAAGGCAGAAAACTAGGAGGGGCTTGTTGAGGAATTTCTCAATTCATCAAAGTGAAAAACGCAAAATGTATTTAAACATAAATTTTATATTTACTAATACCTTAAATTTTTTCCAAATTACCTTGAGCGTTACAATGAATATTGGAACGCTTTCATCAAGGAATACCAAGGAAAGAGAAGGCTCCAAGGGAAAGCGTAACCCCAGTATGTTGGCCGGTTTTTCTTGGACATCTGTTAAGGGGCACCACAGGTGGGAAATACTGTACAAGTTTTGTCATGAGGATCTGCTTTTCAGATGAGTTCAACATACTACTCCCAATTCGATGTCTTTTCTTCTTGAAACAGGTTGGAAATTTATTTTCGAATCACTAAAATCTATGAATGATTGGACAGTTTTCAGGTCATTCTGAAATTCACCATTAAAAGCACCTATGATAGAACAGTTGTCGTACGTGTGACAAAATAATTCCTTCTTGCCTTTGAACCAATGAACACAGTCATTCTATATGTTGATATTAATGTCCTTACTACTTTATCAAAAGGTGATGCCAATAACTCAGGTGAGTGAGTGTCGTATGGTTGGATTACAGTGGATAATGGACTGGGTACGAGCCGAGAGAAAGTTTTCGCGGCCTAATTAAATGCAATCTTCTGGGATTTGTTTCGAGGGATTCAGAAAGAAAATGGAAAGCATCAGCCAGTACATTCAGTCTCTCAGCCAAGAGTAGAATGGTCACCATCAGAACAGAAATTGGACACGTTTCAGTTTGAGGCAACTTCTTGGGTTAGAATCTAACGTCTTGGGGAATATCCTATGGTGAGGGGAACTAGAGATGTCCCTGGTGTTAACTAGAAATCATGTTGGGCCTTAGACGTATTATTAGGCTTGCTTGAGGACGTGGGGGTATATTCCCCAACGATTTCTTGACCTGGGGATTGTATGGAGGAAAACACTCGGATTCGCAACACGAAACTTGAAACATGTGGAAAGAACCCTGTCCCCCTGGAAAGGAGGGTGGACAGGCCCTAGGTTCGATCTGGATACTATGATGTAGAGAAAAATTTCTCTACACCCTTCCAGACCGTAACATACACACACACAATATCATATTAAATCTTTGCTATGCTGAGGAGACGCCATTAAGTTCTGTCAGGAAACCACTGACCAAAACATCTGTGGAATTCGTTCGTATAAGAAGTATGTACAAATAAATAAGATGGACGATAAAAGTGTGGACATTAAAATAACAGTGAAACTTCAATGATGTGGACCGAAGATTTTAAAAATTTTAAATTAAATCCTGACAACAACTTCATGACAATGAACATAAAATTTTGATATGTGAATATTTGTATAAGAGAACAAATTAAAATTTAAAAAGTTTAATTTAACTTAGAAAAAATAGCAGTTGACAAGAGCATGTTACTAAATCTAATCTTAGTGAAACAATTCGTGAGGATAAAAAAGAAATGCAAATTGCCTAATTCTTTTTCACAAAGACCAACGTTCATTCTTTGTAATAAGAGGTTTCGTCGCTGTAGAATAAAATATTTGAAAACAAGACATCAGTTCATACACAGACAGAGGGGTCCAGAAAATGTACTCTCTTTGATAGTCAATATCTTTGGAACAAAATGACATGTAGTTACAAATCTTGTGCAGAGAGAGAGTCATTGTATGTGTTCGAAGTGACCACCATCAGCGGCTAAACAGCGTCGATGTCCCCGAACTGCTGAGCGAACTACGGCTGTCAGTGTGTCCGGTGTGATGGCTGCACATGACGCTTCAATGGTTTCTTGTAGCGCGTTCAGTGTAGCTGGCTTTTATCGATAAACTTCACCTTTCAAGGTTCCCCATAGCTAGAAGTCGTGAGGTGTTAGGTCTGGAGACAGTGGTGGGTACTCAATAGCAGCTCTTTGACCTATCCATCCTCCAGGTAGAGTGCCATCCAAGTACGCCCTGACATCTTGATGTTAGTGAGGTGGAGCACCATCTTGTTGCAGGTAAACTCTCTCATCTCCAAACAGCTGTTGAATGGCAGAGAAAATCAATGTCTTAAGCATATCGAGATACACATGACCAGTTACGGTACTTTCAAAGGAGGACCAATCAAACCGCGCGATGACAGACCACACCACACATTAACACTCGGTAGATTCACTTCCTTGCCACGTGAACGTGTGAATTTACAGGAGCCCAATACACACATCGTGGCGGTTAACAGTACCCGTTCATTCTGAAATGCGCCTCGTCCAATACTACTTCAATACAGCCTTGCGTTGTTCAAAGAACAACTTTTCAGCCATTGTTGCTGCTGTCTTCTGCTCGCAGCGTGCACGCAGCTCAACACTCACGTGACTCATGTGACCTTCGCCATCTGTTGAGAAAACATTACACTACACTACCGCACAAGAATTGTAACTACATGTCATTTTGTTCCAAAGATATTGACTATCAAGGAGTGAGTACATTTTTTTTTTGGACCTCCTGTGTATGATTATAAAACTTTAAACTTCAGGCTACATCTATTGACTCTGACTGCCGAATAATTGAATGCTTTCTTGGACACATTATGAGAATATGACATTTTCATATGTCTTCTGTGATGCAGGGTTATATTTCTGTTTAAAAAACATAGTTTAAAAAAGATCGTTCTGCTTTGTGTAGTCTCAGATGTGGGTATAGGCGAGAACGCTGAGTGAACCTTTCCTTACACACTTCGCATTACAAACGTCGCTCTCCAGTGTGTACAGTGAGATGTTTTTGTAGGTGAGAGTGCCGAGTGAACCTTTTCTTACACACTTCACACGAAAAAGGCCTTTCTCCAGTGTGAATAGTGAGATGCCTGCATAGGTGTGAGCTCTGAGTGAACCTTTTCTTACACACTTTGCATGAAAACCGTCGTTCACCAGTGTGGACTGTGAGATGCATATGTAGGTAATCACGCCGAGCGAACCTTCTCTTACACACTTCGCACACAAAAGGTTTTTCTCCAGTGTGTGATTTGAGATGCATCTTTAGGGTAGAGCGGCGAGTGAACCTTTTCTTACACAATTCGCAATGAAAAGGTCGTTCACCACTGTGTACTCTCAGATGAGCAATCAGGTTCGCGTGATGACGGAAATTTTTCTTACACACTTTGCACACGAAAGGTCGTTCTCCACTGTGTATTCTGAGATGAGTGAGTAGGTAATGGTGATGACTGAACATTTTCCCACACACATTGCACATAAAAGGTCGTTCTCCAGCGTGTATTCTCAGATGACTGAGTAGGTTTCTGCGATGACTGAACATTTTCTTACAGAATTCGCATGAAAAACGTCGTTCTCCAGTGTGTACTCTGATATGAGCATCTAGATCACAGTGATCAGTGAAGCTCTTATTGCATATATTGCATGAAAAAGCCCCTTCATGACAACTAAATCGTTGCAATGGACTGCTCTTATCACTGAACGATTTCACACACTTTTCACAAAGAGACATTTTTTCTCCGTTACTTACATATGTGTGTCCCGATCGATTATTACAACAAGAGAATGATTTCTTACAAATCCTGCACGAATTAATGTTCTCTTCACTGTTTAACTCTGAGAGTTCAGCACGGTGTTCACCAAGAAGTTCCCCGATGCAATGTGTTTCTGCAGTACTAGTTGCATTTAATCCAACATTCTGAAAGGAAAAGAAACACCATCAGCGAATTTGCAATATTACAATTATCACCTTAATGTGTACTGTTACACCACAAGGAAGCGAGAATACTAACATGGGCCAGACTGTTGCAATGGAAATATTGCATCAGACATAGGATGCCCACTTGCCTATCTATGGAACCTAGAGTCCTTTGTTTTTGGGCCTAGGCCGCGTTTTCGGTTTCTTAATCATATACACTGTCGGAAGTACTCCTTGGATGGGAATCAGTCTATCACAAGGCCACACACACACACACACACACACACACGCACACACGCACGCGCGCGCACACACACACACCTTGTGTGGGCATCGAACTCATGAAGGCAGTGTTTGCGAAAACAAAGACATTTCATGGCTTATATCAGGCAGCCACTAGGACCATCACATAGGACACTACACAGCTGAAATAACCTGGACACCTGAACCAGGCCACACAAAAATGCGAACATATTGCGAGTGTTGTCACTTGATAGGAAAGTTCATTAAAACGGGCACCGATTTAGTGTATAGGTATATGGAATTATCTCTGAATGATATTGATTTCCATCAGGAGAATTTTGGGAACCCAAATGTATGAAGAAAAGTTCCTTAATGTAGAATCAGTAGGTTGTGCTGTATGAAAAGGTATTATGAAATACATAATTAAATCTACACATACTTAGGAACAGTGGACTATTGTCTTATGTGTTATAGCATGAAGAATGATGGCAAGAGATTTATAAGTTACATGTGTACTTCGGTGTGATACACAACGCAATGCATTCTTCCCATATAATCTTCCCGGCTTACATGTGCTAGCAGGTAGTATACAGCATCAGGGAATTATGTTTTTCCATCTATTCAACTGCTTACAGAATCACATTGTTTACAGGAAAGCACAAGTTGTTAGAGCTGACATTATTGTAATTGTATTATATAGTTTAGTCAAAAACATATATAGTGATGTGTTTGTTTTTTGTTTTAATACTTAGAAAATGCTGAATGATATTTTCTTAGGTTCAGATCGTAATCAGTGATTTCCCTATCTAATATTTGAGCACTAGTATTGTGCAGTGGATTTCTTTCATATAAACTATATGTATAAGCTTCAAATATGACGAAAAACATAATAAAGTTAATAATGGGAACATTTAAAAAGATATTTCGGAACTGCTGCAAATTGTAAGAGTCAATGAAGATAATTGTGATATCATGCACTTGAGAGCGTTCTGAAATGTCAATATTTCGGAAAAAAATTAATTTACACCCATTATAAATGTCGCAATATATTCCTGGTTTCATAGATTACGTAGAGAATTTAACAGAAAAATAAATGCAACAGTTTATCATGTGAGAAAATTCGGAAATAAAATATCCCTATAATGCTTTCATACGATATCAGATATTCAATCATAAGATATTGCTGAATGCCAAACAGTGCTCAGCTGGGCATAACGATGTGCAGTAGTCATTTGCGCACACCTATCATAATGAACATTCACAACCTAACAGCGTAAATTACGGAGCTTCGCCCCCTCCAATGTACAGATGGATGCGCAGTAGCCTACTGCGCACACCTAACCTAACCTAAGATCAGCGAATGGTACCCCTGAATTACAGATGGATGCGCAGTAGTCTGCTGCGAAACCTAACCTATCCAAACCTTACCCATCTCAACCTAACCTAACATCTGCGAATGGTACCCATGAGTTACAGGTGGATGCGAACACCTAAGGGTGACGTCATTTACGAAGCTGCTAGTTAACGGATCGTAATATTAGACTTTCGTAACATGGAATATAAATCGAAATATGACTGGATAGGAAGTAGAATAATATTATACACGAAAATGGGTAAACTTTAGCGTGAAAAATTACCGTCCTGTAATTGAACTGATAATGGAATGTTTTTGTTTCAGTCATGTTAAGAGGTTGGCTGCCCTGTCACTGTGACCTAAATATCCGGTGTACAAATTTAAGGTACGTTTCTTTCCTGGTATAAAGAGGTGTTTATAAATAATAAGAGGATGTTATGTGTGTATGCTTATGTACATATGTACAAGTTCTGATTAATTATCTACTTGAAAGTATATCTTAAAAGATTCAGTGAGGTAGTTGATGGTAGGATTTAATGTTTGTGTTATCCTGGACCGAGTAATGGCGAGTGCACGAAATTTTACAAACATGTGTTTCCTCTGTTCCACAATGAAATCGAAGTGTTTTCCCTGTGAACCATGAAACTGAAGTTTGTGTGTGAAGGAAGAATACACCATAACGTACATTTATTGATTTAACGAAAGTAAGTGCATATAAAAATACTGCGTGTGTAGTGATTTGCACAAAATTTGTTTTAGTGGTTATATGGATAGAGTGAATTAAATTTTATGAGTGCATATTTGGTATGACAGAAAACTGGGTGTAGTTTTGGTATGCAGCCTCTGAATATTACACATGTGAGTAGGTTATTGGTCAGAATGATATACTCATTTTTGCATTTGTATAAGTACGGGCCATTCCATGTAAAATCAACCACAGAGGTCACTCACCATAAAAAAAAAAATCAGAATTTGTACACTTCTACACATTTTCACGCCTCAAAAATATTTTAAAAAAATTGTAATCCGCTCGGTTCTCCAGGTACAGCCGTTTTTATAATGCGAAAAAACGCGTTTTCGGCTCAAATGGAGGTTTGCGTTATCTTCTGTATCTCGATAACTATTGAAGCTAGAGACTCCAGTAAGAAACCAATTTGTTCCTCATGATACGGACAGCAAATCATATCATTACAAGGTTTTACCCAACTCACTTCCTCTAGGTGTAATTAAGCTTGAAATTTACCTATCGATTTTGGGAAAAACGCTATTTTTGACCTTCAGAAACCAATGGGAGGGGGAAAGTATCAGATCTGTGGGTTCTACCTTTTGTTTTCTCCTACATGAAGAATGTAATCACCCCGTACCTATTTTCCAAAATTTTCCAGGAGCTTCCAAACTTTGCTCTGGACCCAAAATCGGCCATTTTTAACGTCTCACATCTCCGGTGGGGAAGCTCCGAAAAATTTTAAATTAATAACAAATAATGCTCTGTTCCAGAGTAACATGGAGTTAAAATTATAAATTTGATATTGAACTAATAGCGAAGTTTCTATAATGCGAAAAAACGCGTTTTTGCCTGAAATGGAGGTCTGCGTTATCTCCCATATCTCGATAACGATTGAAGCTAGAGACTCCAATTAGAAACCAATTTGTTCCTCATGATATGGACTATAAATCATATCCTTACAAGGTTTCACTCAACTCACTTCCTCCAGGTATAATTAAGCTCGAAACTTACCTATCGATTTTGGGAAGAAGGCTATTTTTCACCTTCAAAAACCAATGTAAGGGTGANGTTTGTTCCCCATGATATGGACTATAAATCATATCCTTACAAGGTTTCACTCAACTCACTTCCTCCAGGTATAATTAAGCTCGAAACTTACCCATCGATTTTGGGAAATACGCTATTTTCACCTTCAAAAACCAATGGGAGGGGGAAAGTATCAGATCTGTGGTTTCTACCCTTTGTTTTCTCCTACATGAAGAATATAATCACTAGTTTTGAACACCGTACCTATTTTCCAGAATTTTCCAAACTTTGCTCTGGGCCCAAAATCGGCCATTTTTAACATCTCATATCTCCGGTGGAGAAGCTCCGAAAATTTTGAAATTCATAGCAAATAATGCACTATTCTAGAGTAACTTGTAGTTAAAATTACAACTTTTATATTTAACTACTAGCGAAGTTGTAGGCACCTTAAAAAAAACTCAACAATTGGCTTACCTGCATCCAATGGTATTAGTTCTTTGTGTACTCCGATGCATATTTTCCGGTTTGTTTGAAAGTACACGTAGTTCAGTAAAAGTGTCCACTATCACGATGTCTTCGAAATCATCGGACTTGGATGTTTTATAACACCTGACCGTGTTTTCCTTCAGATGGACGATCCGGTGTTTTTCTCCTGTGTGGAGCACAGTTTTGCACTTTTGGAACATACTTTTAGAATGATTTAATTTCTTGCAACTTCCTCTTTTGGCACAAAAAGTAAACTATTCCTGGGATATTTTCTGTGCAGAATATTTACAGTTCTAGCAGGCACATGATTTGATTAAAATCAGTTCTTTGAAGACTGGCTTTCACTGCTTGCCTCTTCGTGGTGCTGCCAATACCGTCACAGGCATTCTTCCCGTGCGAGGTGGCAAAGAAGTTCCATTCTGCTTCAAGTCCGAAGTCTTCACAGTGATAATATAAATTGGAAAGATTCTTTTTGTTTTTATATTGGCTTCCAGCGCCATCACTGAAATAAATAACTTTCCTGACTGAAGACACATTTTCTTTTATATCGGCGATAAGAAATTTTTGGAACACACAAACTGTGGCTCTATCGTCCTTTACATGATCACTGATTATACACAAGCTTGGGCATTTTCTTATAGTGTCCGCCTTGTAGTAATACACAAAAGGGTGATGTGTAGCCCAATGGAAACTTTGAATCTCGCCTTGAACGGGTAACAAACAATTTTCTGCAAAATCTGTAAAATTTAAAATGGCTGTACCGGGGGAACCGAGCGGATTACAATTTTTTAAAAAATATTTTTGAGGTGTGAAAATATGTAGAAATAAGTGTAAAAATTTTGAATTTTTTTTTTAAATGTGGTGAGTGACCTCTCTGGATGATTTCACATGGAATGACCCATACTTGTAAGAAGAGGGCAAAAAACGAAATTTCTAGTTCCCTTTGAAGAAGTTATTTTTTCAATTTATATCTCATTTCTGTGTGACAGTGTGTAGTGGGTATAATGTATGATGTATGTTGTTTTGGTCACAATAATGTCGAGTGTAAAGAGAAGTTTAAATTCTCTAGTGTGACGTTATATTTTTGTCAGTGACATATACAGTGATGTGTAGTGAGGTTTTGTAGTGTTTTCAAGAATATTAAGATTTGCATTCCCCCTCAAGGGATTCAAAAGTTTCCCCTTTTATGTATATATCTTGTTTGAATTAAGAATTCTTGCTTATAACAAGGTGGTATGCTAATTGAAACACATGTTGTCATTGGTGTTATAGCATGAAGAACAATGGCAAGAGATGTGTAAGTTACATGTGTACTTCGGTGTGAAAGACAACGGAATGCATTCTTGCCATATTATCTTCCCGGCTTACATGTGCTAGCAGGTAGTAGTATACAGCATCAGGGAATTATGTTTTTCCATCTATTCAACTGCTTACAGAATCACATTGTTTACAGGAAAGCATGAGTTGTTAGAGCCGACATTATTGTAATTGTATTATATAGTTTAGTCAGAAACATATATAGTGATGTGTTCGTTTTTTATTTTAATACTTAGAAAATGCTGAATGATATTTTCTTAGGTTCAGATCATAATCAGTGATTTCCCTATCTAATATCTGAGCACTAGTATTGTGCAGTGGATTTCTTTCATATAAACTATGTATAAGCTTCAAATATGACGAAAAACATAATAAAGTTAATAATGGGAACATTTAAAAAGATAATATTTTGGGAACTGCTGGAAATTGTAAGAGTCAATGAAGATAAATGTGATATCATGTACTTGAGAGCGTTCTGAAATGTCAATATTTCGGAAAAAAATGAATTAATGACCATTATAAATATCGTAATATATTCCTCGTTTCATAGAATATGTAGTGTGTTTAACAGAAAAATAAATGCAACAGTTTATCATGTGAGAAAATTCGGGAATAAAATATCCTGTATAAATATACGTGTATAATGATTTCTTATGCTATCAGAGACATTCAATCGTAAGATACTGCCGAATGCCAAAGATTGCTCAACAGAGCATAACTATGCGCAGTAGTCATTGCACACACCTGTCATAATGTACATTCACAACCTAATATTAGCGTAAATACCGAGCTTCGCCTCCTCCAAGGTACAGATGGACGCGCAGTACTCTACTGCGCAAACCTAACCTAAGATCAGCGAATGGTACCCCTGAATTACAGATGGATGCACAGTTCTTCATTGCGCACACCTAAGGGTGACGTCATTTATGAAGCTGCTACTTAACGTATTGTAACATGGAATATAAATCGAAATATGACGTTATGTATAAAATTGAGCATGTTGACTCTTTTTCCACCCATAATATCAATCTATGCTCTTATATTCCGAGGTTATATTGCTATGAGATAGCTTAGATTATGTAGAAAACGCCACTCCCACCTCACAAGTTTGTGCATCCCCCATGGTTATACAAACGATTACTGAATATGTCATATTATTGCATTATGCTGCCGTCCAATGGCATAACGTTATGAAGAATAGTCTTTATTATCAGTGAAATCGTTCCCTTCTTTTTCATGGATGGATACCCGACCAACTCAGTGACTGCTTGGCATTTGTTTCGTCCGATTTTCCCTTCCTCGATAGGAAGTAGAATAATATTATACAGGAAAATGGGTAAACTTTACCGTGAAAAATCACCATCCCGTAATCAAACTGATAATGGAATGTTTCTGTTTCAGTCATGTTAAGCAAACTGTCACATGAACTGTGTTCCTTGCCGTGTAACATGATACCATCAAGTCGTCTACAAGTCAATTACTTCCCTTCATTGCAAACCTTATCGGCTGACTCATTGGTAAAATTCGTATGCACTTCACAGATGAAGGCTCACAGGCCGCTGTAAACTCTTCAAATTACCGAAAAACTTTCCTGTACAATTGGCAGGATACGCTGCATAGGATAGGCATTAAATGAAAATATAATTACATCTACATATACAATGCGTTCAACAGTCGAGGAAACCTGGTAACAACGCACAGCTGTAACTGCTGATAGCAGAATGAGGCATTATAGTTGATAAACGCGCCCCATCAGGTGGTATGATCATGTTACTGCAGTAAATCGAATTAATAGTCAGTCTTCGTTAGAGGTGTCGATAGTCAGTCAACATTTATACTGAAATGAAGTCAACTACTGAAGAGCGTGTGTTCACTGCCAAATGTTGTGCAAGGAAAAACTGACAGAATATGTATCCCTAGAGTTTCGTCGTAAATATCCTGACTCGCCAGTTATCACAAACTCGTGTGTATTCAAGCTTGTTAAAAAGTGATGAGCCACAGGTTCAGTGCACGACATTAGGAACCAATCAAAGAGGACTGTGCTGACTGAATAAAAGGTTCGGGATATTGAGGCACATCTACAGATCACTCAAACATGGATAAGACGTTTAGCACAGGAAACCGGTGTTTCGCTAGGATCTATCACAGCCACAAAATTAAACAAATTTCAATTGTATAAAATAACAGTTGTACATGAGCTGAAAAGGACAGATTATGCAGCAGGAATTCGTTTTTGAAACTTGCTGCTGCAAAATGTGCACGATGGAATCGTAGATCCACAGCTTCTGTTCATGGCTGATGATGCGTGGTTATGTCAGTGCATAAAATGTAAGTACGAGTATGTGGAGCGATGAAAATTCTCACAATATACAAGTGCCATAATGTAGTGAAAAGGTGGGGGTGTGGTGTGCTGTAATTCTGCGGCAAATCACTGGCCCCCTGTTTTTCCACGAAACCGTGAACTTTGACCGCTATGTTACTGATATACTGAATCTGTTCTTCAATCAGCTGGCTGCTGAAGAAAGACAATATGTGTATTTTCACCAAGACGTTACAGCACATATGGATAATGCAACCATGGTCGCAATACAGGAAGTGTTCGAAGATAGAATAATCAGCAGGGATCTGTAGCCTACTATATCCCCAGATCTAAGATTTTGCGATTTTTATCTTAGGGGAAACTGGAATGGAAAATGTACAAGAATAATCCTCGCAGAACTAAAGTTCTGGAGAATGAAATAACATGCCACTTTTTCATAAGCTTGGATACGCACGACTTTGTGGTGAGTTAGGATATTTACGTTGAAACTTTTGGATACATTTTCTGCAAGTTCTTTTCCTTGCAAAAGTTTTGACAATAAATAAACGACGTTGAACGCCCTGTATTTGGGTACAGTGGAATATCGGTTTATGAACGTCTATCAGTTTACCTTATATTGTACTGAAGGTTATCTCATTTGCCTAATAACTTTTTCAGAATTTCATTAAATACCTTATGTAACACTTGCATTTTTAGAGCTGTACATGCCATGTCTGCGAAAATTTCTATGGGTAAGTTCAATTCATTTTTATTAATAATACAGGCTTAAAAACAAAGCATTATGTTGTAAGCTCTCTGAGAGGTTTCAATCAGTGATGAATATTACCATGTAAGATTTGAGGTTACAGCAACAGATACTGTGTATCCTGGAATTTGCAGCCACGTATATTGGTTAATCGTTACAAGAATTTTGACATGTGAGAATTCAACTATGATTAGTTCGTTTAGGGTTTACTAGACTTCAAAGCACAATGCAATTCTGATTGTGCCTAGCTAGGTATTAATTTAAGACAAATTCAGAAGCTACATATGTGATATATTGCACAATAACTGCACTGAGCTCGGTCTTTGAGATAATAACTAATATATAATATATAAAAAACAGCCCTTCATATGACTCGTCTGGACACTTCCGAACCAGTAATCTTCAGTCACAGCCGTGGGTGTGGCAAATCTGACAGTGCTTCCAACTCAGAATTTGGAGAATATGAAGGGGGACCCAAAAATAACCGGAAACGATGTGTTGCGCGCGCATGCTTTGTAGTTACGAGTTGTGCTGCTAGGTGGTGTTAGCTGGGGGTCTCCCGCGACTGTTAGTGAGCTGGCGTCAGTCTGAATTAAGTGGTTTGTCTGTGGTGCTCTGTTGTGTGTGTTCCTGTTTCAACCCTTTGGCGATTAGTGAGATGGCTGACGAGAAGGAACAAAGAGTGTGCGTGAAATTTTGCTTTCTGTTAGGGAAAACTGCACTTCACTCTTCAAGTCGCGGCAAACATTCACGCGGTTTTCTCTTTGGTCATCTCCGAGCAAGCGAGGAACAAATTTTGCAGACACCCGTCTCATGTGCAAACCTTCGGTTAAAATTCGCTGGACCGTGCTCCATGAGATGTTCGTTTCCTCAGAAAGTTGGTCAATGGTCTTTCGACGATCTTCATCAATTTCACGCACACTCTTTGTTCCTTCTGGTCGGCCATCTCACTAATCGCCAAAGGGTTGAAACAGGAACGCACACAACAGAGCACCACAGACAAACCACTTAACTCAGACTGACGCCAGCTCACTAGCAGTCGCGGGAGACCCCCAGCTAACACCACCTAGCAGCACAACTCGTAACTACAAAGCATGCGCGCGCAACAGGTCGTTTCCGGTTATTCTTGGGTCCCCCCTCGTACAAGCAGATAGTGTATGACTGGGATGAAACGTTTTACAAAGTAGCCACCTGCAAGAACTAGACAGCAATGGGGGAGTAATACCAGGCTGGACATTTGGGGAACACATTTTTGGGATGTGTCTCAAAGTGATATGAATGACGTTTCTAAGGGTTTTGAAACCTTTGGTTCTAACATGGAGGTTATTAAGTTTACATGCAAATGAGATGTAGAGAGATCCATCACGTATAGCCTTAATGATGTTACCTGGCACCATAATTTAGATGCAGACAAAAATGACACGAAGAGACCTAATAACATATATATATATATATATCTCCTTCTGATATACACACTTACAGCTTTTGTCTTCAGAACAGCAAATGTGTGTTCAACTCGTTCCAGAATTATTTTGGGGACTCGAGTTGCTAAGGAATGCAACGTACGTCTCAATCTCGCAAGGCGCTCTTCCTCACTTGTCATTCTTCTTCTGTTATTCTGTGCTGAACACACACAAAGGATTAGTCACTGGCATGTCAAAAGGTAAGCATGAAAACCAACCAATCCTAGCTGAGAAATAAAGCGGGAAATTTTCATGTGATATTCAAGTATGTGAATCTGATATTTAATTCCCTTGCAAAAGCAAAATACTGTGACGTAGACGGCGCAACGCTCGTTAAACACCACCCTCCGCGGTGATGTAACAGCATCGGAGCAATTGCCGCTGCTACGGTAACAGGCCAGTCAACACTCTGTCTCCCTCCCCCGTGGGGATGTAGCAGTGGACACCGCGGTTACTACGCAGCAATAAACAACTCTCGGCAGTGTTCCCCAGCAACGCCTGTAAACACGACGTTACACAACAGTGGTGGCTATCATGTAACTGTTTTCTGTGTTGTCAGTGCGGAAGCTACATTACGAGGAGAATTACCAGAGTAACCTTTTTCCAAAGCCTTGGAAGGCAGCAAAGGTTATATAATGTTACCGAAACCTGGTAAGGACCCAAAATTTCAAAATTTACGCCCGATTAGCCTCTTGTCTACAACAGGCAAGCTATTCGAAAAAGTCATTTTGAAAATAGTCCAGAGGCAAATTGAAGAAAAAGGCCTGATTAATGCAAGCCAGTTTGGTTTCCGTGCCCGTCATAGCAAGACACTTCAATGTATGAGGTTTAGGGACCATGTAACTTTAAATTTCAACAATAACATGTCTACAGCTGCCCTATTCTTGGATATTGAAAAAAGCCTTTGATAAAACATGGCAAATTGGCTTGCTATATAAATTATCTACATTACAATTTTCGATAAGTTTAATCAAGCTTATTAGGCCTTTCCTTTCTCAGACAAAATTCAGAGTTTCAGTCGAAGGTGAAATGTCTACACCAACGGAAATACAAGCAGGAGTGCCACAATGTTCTGTTCTCTCCCCCACATGGCACAGTCTATATATAAACGATACGCCCCAAACACCTGGTGTCTATCTAGGTCTCTTTGCTGACGACACCTGTATATATGCGACAGACCGCAAAGAGGGTTATGTTCTCAGAAAGCTGCAGCGAGGTCTCAGTGTTATTGAGACGTGGTGTGATTGCTGGAACATAAAAAGTAATGAGGATAAAACTCAGGCAATCTACTTCTCTCATAGACTTAGGCCCCCTCAGACTCATCTTACATTGAATGGGCAGAATATTCCCTTTGTCAATCATGTAAAATACCTGGACGTAATCTTCGATAAGAGGATTACGTGGAGACTTCACATAGAAATGACTGAAGCCGAGGCCTTCAGAACATTTATTAGAATCTACTCCCTATTCAAAAGTGAGCGTTTAAATGCAAACATTAAACTATCCCCCTATAAGGCACTGATCAGATCAGTAATGACTTATGCTTGTCCCACCTGGGAAATAGCGGCAGACACCTACCTCCTAAAATTGCAGCGCACATTTTCAAAGGTGCACACCAGTCCACAACTTGCACACGGCTTTCAACGTTCCGTATGTATACGATTATATAACAAAATTGTGCAGACGACAAGCAGAAGTCATACAAAATCATGATAATGAACATGTTTGCGATATAGGGCAAAGTGAAGCCAGACACAGAAAATATAAGAGGCTTAAACCTGGCGGTGGTCAAGCTTATGACCGTTCAAATGACTAAGTTTTCATTGTAGCATAAGATCTGTAAGTTAGGCATGATCTGCTCTGTAAGGCCTGTACCGACAGAGGACTTCTGTGTAAAGCAAAAGGAAGACTTTTCGATAACATATTATATGTGTGAAATATACACTTGATAAAAGGTCGAATGTATTCATAAGAGACAGACCCATCTTCTCGTCAGAGAGGATGTTACATAAGGGCTATTACCGCAAGAGTTCAGTTGAAAAAATCTCTGGTCGTGGGCCTCAAGGGGCCTGATGCCAAGACGAACCGATTGGCGGTAAACCGCCAGTCATAAAGTGACTCTGACTCTAAGTAACCAGTCAGTTGCAGTCTAGCATTCGCCGGAGTGAGGTGAAGTCCTGTTATTGAGTTGTATCGAGTGAATGGCAATGACTACAGGAGAAGTATTTGTGATACTGCAGATGGCAGTAGTGGTGTAATTGTGAGAGGGAGTGTTCAATAAATTCGCTAGATCCAAAATGGCGTGAAGTTATTTGTCGCGTGACACACCCAACACGTGACAATAGCATGCTTTGAAATTAATTATGGAATTCGTGTGTGTAATGTTCATATAGATGTTGTCTACTTTTTCAAAACATTTGATTGCATGGCATTACTGCGTGAGCCATGTATAAATTGTAAGAAGTAAAACTGGTCTTGCTGCCTTAAATCTGTGATGAAGCAGTTAAGCAGCTATTCTAGGACATAATTCGTCTTCAATATGACGCAATCTTAAACTTTGAATAAGTCATGCCTACACTTAATTAATTAAGCAATACATGTCTACAGAGTAGACACAGCTCCACCATTCTCGACCTCAGTACAAGATGCAGATTTGTGATCAGCTTCGCGCTCCTTTCGTTTTACACCCAGGAAAAGAGCCGCATTTACCAATTAGAAAGGAGGCTGGGTGGGATCTAGAGCCGTTCTCGACACTGTGGACTACAGTAAAATCTGTTGCATCTGCTAGTAATCAAACTCCCGCAGTCCAGCCCATAGTTATACTGACATATGCGGCTGCTTTAATTAAGAGTATTTTATAAAGTTACGAGGAGCGTTCTGTATATAATGCCTCCTATTTTTTAATGAAAACTACAACAGATACAGAAAGCATAATAACACGGTTAAATAGAGCACGATTTAAGCTATTTACAGTTATTTTTCCACATAATCACCACCATTCGTTATTCACTTTTACCCCCGATGAACAAGAGCCTGTATGCCGTGCTCGTAAAAGTCTGCACCAGCAGAGGCAAACCACTTTCTCACAGCTGCAATTGTCTGGAAAACGTTGCCCACGTAGTCCATAGGCCCAAAGAGATGGAAGTCTGAAGGTGCTAAATCGGGGCTATAAGGTGGATGTGGTAGGACAGTCCAGCCACACTTTCCAATGTGTGCGGTGGTCGCTAAACTGGTATGCGGTCTAGCGTTATCGTGTTGCAAGCGAAAGGTTGTCTGCTTCTCTGGCCTGACTCGGGAAACGGGGGCTTTCAGGTTAGTCAGAGTCGTCTTGTAGCGTTTAGAATTGATAGTCTCACCAGGCTCCAGGAAATCTAACAAAATAACACCCCGCCTATCCCAAAAGACCATGCACATCACTTTCCCTGCTGATGGCTGTCTTGAACTCCTTTTGTCTTGGGGAACCCAGATGTCGCCACTCCATGGACTGTCTTTTGGATTTCGGCTTGTAGTGGTGACACCACGTCTCATCTCCGGTGACGATGCTCTCCAGAAACTCGTCACGTTCAGCCTCAAACTGTGCAACAGGTCCTGATAGACTTCCATTCGATGAGTTTTGTGGTCCTGTGTAAACACCAGCGGGACCCACCTGGAACAAATTTTGCGATAATCCAGCTTCCCCAACATCGATTCCAATGCATTACAGCCGATATTAAGCCGTGCACACAGTTCCCTGGTCGTTATCCACTGATCTGTAGGGATGAGCTATCGAGGCACTGTTCATTGTGAGGAGTGACAGCTGAGCAGGGATGCCCAGGGCATGGTTTGTTGTGCACTTCACTTTCGTCACTGTTGAAACGCACTACCCACCGCCTCACTGTGCTGACATCCACACTGTATCGTCTCTGTACACCTTTAGCAAGCGTCGATGGATGTCAATGGGTGCAATTTGTTCGGCAGTGAGGAATTCAATAACACATCTCTGTTTCATACGCACGTCTATGTCAGACGCCATTTTGGTAGACTGCTCTGCTGTCACTATATGTCGCACGACAACCAAACAAACAGTACATTGGCGGGAAGGTTCAACCTTTACTACAATACCACTAACATCCAGCTCAGATGTTACAGATTAACACACACAAAAAAAGGGAGGCATTATACAGAGTGTCCCAGGAGGAATGTGCCAAACTTCGGGAGGGTGTTCCTTATGTTATAGTATGCCGATATAACCCAAAACACCTATGTCCAAAGTTGAATGGTTACGGAGATAATGGCCCAAAAAAGTGTGGTCCTCTGGCGAGACCACGCATTGTACCAGTCAGCTGGCATGTCTTATCTACGTTTGTCCTTGAGTGTGGTTATGGCAGCTCACGTTAGCCCCATACCAGAACGCGCAGTCAGCAATGTTATGTCAGTGCTTGACATTCATGTGTCATGTATAGTGCTTGGAACTCTTAACGAGAACTTTGACATGGCGTGCGAGTTTTTTGTAGCTCAATTTAATGGCTTCATGTCACTCACAAGTTAGTTTAATGTTACGTACATTATTAACATTATAGAAACCACATATTCCTGCCAGTTTTAATATTGTCGCGTATCCGGCGTATATCGCGACAAATAAATTTTCGATGTATTCGGTGTAGCGAATTTTATTTCACATTCGCACTTACAATCACTCAAATTACAGATTTACGATTACTGCTATCTGCAGTATCACAATTAGTACACTCCAAATGCCAGAATACAACTGACTGGCTGACTCCAACTTGGTAGTCGGCTGGCTGTTACTTTATAACTCGGCGCCTGTCACCGTACAACTGGCTGGTAGCCACATTAGAACTGAACTCGTACCGGCACTGCAGCTCACTTATATAGTCGCAGGATTGCCTGTTACGTTCCACGTCACAGTAGGAAGCAGTTCCGTGTCACCGCGGAGGGGAGTGGCGGGGCGGGGCGNCGGGAGGGGAGCGCTGACTCACCCGCCACGTCACTGCTGGTGTGTGGGGGGGGTCTCGGCTTGGCGCAACATGTCACAATATGTATTTTGTAATCAACAAGTGTGTAACACTGGTCAAAGTTTCACACTTCTCTGGCCATTATCTCCGTAACTGTTCAACTTTGGACATAGGTGTTTTGGGTTATATAGGCATACTTTAACAT